CAAGTGTGCTATTTAACGCACACTATGTCGTACACAATTCATACAAAATTATAACATTCTCGGTTTTAAAGCGAAAAAAGGATTGTATTTGATTATCGTGCCTAATTTGTAAAAGGGTATGAAAAGTTAAAGTTCATTCTTTACAGATATTATCTGCTATCGTTAAAGCAGTGTGATGAGAACAACTTGTCAGTGTTTCGTGTGATATCTCTGTGGTTGGCTAATCAGGACTTTGAGTTTGACGCTGGAAAGGAAAAGTTTGAAGACCTCTTGAACATGATACCTTCTTGGAAATTTATCACCGTACTACCACAACTCACACCAAGGCTCACTGATGAAAATACACCATTCATAACGATCTTGAAAAATATTATAAGTATGCATCTATTATACTTTCATTGAATGTTCTTTTAGGTTTCGGTTAGATAACTATTATTTCAATAACTTAACGTACTGAATTACCTCTTCATTGGGTTTTGGGTTTTGTAGTCTTTTGAACAACATCAAAGTCAAAATATTTTTTTTCAATTAGACCAGAAAGTCACATTTGAATGTCAACAAAAAAAATTAAAGTGAATCTATTTGCTCATTCCAAGGTGTAGATTCCTTCGGAGAATAACGAGTAAGGAACTGCCTTACTTTTCTTCAACCAGGTTCACAATACAATTCTTTAGCTTCATAGTTTTGTGGGTTTAGTCGACATTGCCGGTGTACTAATTTGATTTCTATAGTATATTTAAGGCTCGTTTTGTTTTTAAATAACAATATCGTGACGATATACGGTTTTCTTGTACCAGAACGATGTGCAGTTGACCACCCTCACCACACATTACCTATCCTTTTCGGAATAAAGAATTCAGACAAGGACAACGTAATAATGAACGCGAGCGGGCGTGGCGCCTCCAGTGGGCGCGGCCGGGAACAACAACCGCGCGTAGTGGCCGCGCAGGCACTAGTACAGGAACTGCGCACGCGCACTGAACAACTCAATGTTATTATCACGCAAATGGAGAAGATGTGTGATGGTAAGTAATTTGGAACTGACCAACACTGCTAGTTTTTGCTATTTTATGGGCTGGAAAATGTAGATACGACTTTTAAAACGTATAGCAATCTCATAAAAAATAAGAAATTGCCTGAGGAATAGGGGAGATATATTAAGTTATCCAAATATATATTATTTGCTTATAACAACCAATTTAATTTCCTAGCTATAATAAGCTTCGCGAACTACGTGCCGACGTCGAAGCAGAAGAAGCAGCAGATTCCTAGCGCGGAGAATATACACAAGCTGCGCAGTTTGCGCGCAGTCCCCGTGCCCACTGTAACTCTGCCCATCCTAAAACATTGCAACTATGAGGATATACCCAGTAAGGACATATTAACATCGTCTTTCTTTGATAAACAAGCTTTAGGAAAAATATCTAGCTTTAATTCCGTAATTCCGCTAAAATGCCGAGATAAAATGTACAATAGATCGATTAAATCATTTTTAAATTAAAAAAAAAATGAAATTATCTGTCTAACTCTTAGCAATAAACTCACATAATACTACATTCATTTTTCAGCTCTACATGCATTTGATAACTACTTCGAGCTGGTTGGCGGCGTAAACTGTCCAAAGAAGATAAACTGCAAAGATAATACCGGAAAAAATAATATTATACTGATAAAGGTGAATATAAAAAATGTTATAGTGATTCTAGTTTTCAACAAAAATCAAAATAACTCGGGTTTTCAATATACGATTCATTAACGCTTGAGTGATAATATTTTTAGATTTATAATATTTTTTTTTATTTATTAACGAATTTCTTGCAGGGTGGTGATGATTTGAAACAAGATGCAGTGATGCAACAAGTATTCACTATTGTGAACACTTTGTTGGAGAAAAATCCAGTGACCAATAAAAATAAACTACTCATTAGGACTTATAAGGTGGGTGCTAGGCCTTTCGATATTTCGTTAGTTATTTGTTTAGTGATTTTATTTATTGATTGAATGCTAACAACTACCATTACAGACTAATCCAATACGATAGTGTGGCCATCAGTCTTACAAATACAATATATTTCAGTATTCGATTTCATTACCTTGTGAATTATATCAAAGAAACGGACCAAAATACTGTTAAACTGCCGCAAATTATTAACCTACTATCAACTGTCAATTTTATTCTACAGTTAAGATCTTGATTGAAAAATCGACCCTAAATAATTTGCATAAAATACATTTTAATTTGAAGTTAAAAATCATAAGATATTCTATTTTTTTTGCACATTGTATTTGCATATTTTATAATTCTTGTTATTGTCGTTTTTATATTTGGTGGACCGACGTTTGACCACTATCTCGCCTGGTGGTAGCGATGATACGATCTACGATGGAGTGATGAGATTATGTGTTTGCAGGTGGTGCCAATGTCTCGACTGTCGGGTGTATTGGAATGGTGTGAGGGCACAATTCCTATGGGCATGTATCTTGTTGGCTTGGAAAAAAATAGCGGTGCCCATGCACGTTATAGACCTCAGGTATGAATTAAAACCATTACTACTTACTACTATTTTATAAGATACTTATTGCAGTGTTCATCAATCACTCCTAAACTGTCACTTAACTATCAGTCACTTAGCGTATTCACCAATCACCTCCTAAACTGTCGCTCAACTATAAGTCACTTAGCGTATTCACCAATCACCCCGTAAACTGTCACAACTATACCTAAGTTACTTAGCGGATTCGCCAATCACCCCCTAAACTGTCACTTAACTATAAAAATGACGTTAGTTTTCATCTATGTTAACTTAGGGGTTTCTTTAAATTTAGGAGATGTTAGTGAAGAAAACAAACATTCAATATACAATATTTGCCCAAGCTAATTATTATTATGAAAAATTATAATTATTATGTAAGACGGGATTTTTATTTTGATAACAAAGACTGCCTCGTTGGCCGAGTGGTCGCAAGTGCGACTGCCAGGCAAGGGGTCTCGGGTTCGATTCCCGGGTCGGGCAAAGTATTGGGTTTTTAAAAAAAAGTTCAGTTGTAGCACGGAGTCTGGAATTGTGCCCGGTATATGGCAATAGGCTCACCCCCTATTACATGGGATTCATAACATAAATAGTGAAAAGTGGGTGTTACATTGTACAGTGGCATAATGTGCACCTCTGCCTACCCCTTCGGGAATAAAAGGCGTGATGTTATGTTATGTTATGTTAAAAAAAACTTCAAACTATCCTTTGTTTGTTTAACAGGATATTTCATCCGACGCCGCTCGTAGTAAAATGGTTGAATCTGCGAACGACAGTCACGAATCAAAGCTGAATGTTTACAATAAGATAGTGCAGTCCTTCAAACCGGTGTTCCACTATTTCTTCACTGAACAGTATCTTGATCCGGTCACGTGGTACGAAAGGAGATTGGCTTACACAAAGAGGTAACAGACTTTGACAAATATTTTTATTTGTAGGTATAGGTCTCTCGGTTGGCGTCTCGCACTTGGTGAGCTGCTTATCCCGGAATAGTGATGCCGAAATTATTGCCTATATAGTTTAAAAATAATATATTTCGCATATTATGGTGTTCTTTCGTTTTATCATTGCTGTAACGAAAATGTTACCAACTTTAATTATTTGACTATGTTAGTCGTATGTAACTATCTAAAACAACTGTCATATAATTATATTCATAAGACACCCTTAGTGCTGTGTTTCAATGTTAATTCGAACTAAATAGTTTTTTTTCTTATTTAGTGTTGCGACCTCTTCCATGGTCGGCTACATCCTGGGACTCGGCGATCGACACGTGTACAACATTTTAATCGACAGAAGGACCGCTGAAGTGGTTCATATTGATTTAGGTACATAATTAACTTAAAAGTAGTGAAAGTAATAAAATTGAACTAGTTTCTTTTTAATACACAAACATGTTTGTAGGCATCGCTTTCGACCAAGGCAAGACATTGCGCACTCCTGAGACAGTGCCATTCCGACTGACCCGCGATATTATTGCCGGCTTTGGATGCAGCGGAACGGAAGGAATATTTAGAAGGTAAAAATCAATACTTATATATTTTAATAAGTACGCTAAAGTTGGTATTACTTTATTGTCAAGTACACATGTCGCTTTTTTCTTTTTTTGTTCTGAATGTATTTAAAGAATTCGTTGATATATATAAATGTTTTGTCTCTCTACAGGTGCTGCGAAAAGACAATGCAACTACTTCGGGATAATCAAGAGACTTTATTGACAATATTAGAAGTTTTACTATGTGATCCATTATACTCGTGGTCCGTTAAAACAGCGCAACAAAATGCTCCTACTTCAAGCAGAAATACCAGTGCAGTCTGTAAGTATTAACAAGTGTTAACAAGACAAGTGTTATAAAACTTACGGCCGATTTTCAATCATCAGTTAATTCTTAACAATAAAATCGTTGTCATTTTTTAGTATCGACGTGTTAAATATCAGCCTTTTAGCACTTAATGTAAATACGCAACGCGATTGCTCGATTAATCAAAACCATTGACTGTGTGAAGTGGCGCGGTATCCTACGCGTTACTGACCACTGGGTCATTACTGAATGACCTCAGTTCTTTTAAACATTATTGATTTGTTTTGAATTAATCTAATACATGTTGTCCAGGTGATACCGGCACTCCTAGCGGCCTAGCAAAGCGAGCGCTTCTGGTAGTGACGAGCAAGCTTAGTGGAACTGAAGACGGAGTGGCAGGCGGCGTGGCTGTAGCAGGGCAAGTTGCGCGCCTATTACACATTGCCACAGATCCATTCAATTTATGTCGCCTCTTCCACGGCTGGCAACCCTATTTGTAATCGTTAATGTGCCTTGAATGTTGATTGTTTCATGTAATTATGACTGATTCAATAATAATAATTAATTGTAATACAGTGAAAATAAATGATCAGTTTCTATTATTTTATGTTTTGTTTTACTTTAACCACAATTAAGAAAATCATATATTTTTCTTAAGAAAATCATTAATTATATTTAATATATCATAATTTTTGTGGATCGCACTATACTAACAAAGAGTACCGCAACATGTTGCGCAACAGCCGGTGTATAGATATTAATGTAGAAGGTTAGATCGATAACCAAACTTTAAATTGATCTTTAAAATGATAATTAATCCATACAAATTCATAGTAAAAAATAAAATCTAAAAACCATTCTGAGCTTTCGTGAATTTTTATTAATCTTTTCAACAAACACGGTAACAGGTATGGCAACTTTCTGAGAACTGTCAACCCATCTGTCAAATATTGTTGAAAAATGCGTTACCATGGTAACGAAATTTAACAACAAAAATGTGAGGATGGATTTCATATTGTCATTAAATGTTGTATTTATAAGCAGTTGCTGTGCTTTCTTTATTTCATATTAGTGATTTCTCATGGCAGAATTGCATATATTAGGGCAACTACAGTGTGCGTCAAATTTTAAGGATAATTCTTTATTTTGTCGATACTCTTTTCAAGCCGGTAATTATTAGCCTGGATTACGTAATTATTAGTTAGTCTAAATATGTGGAAAGATCTATTAGTTTAAGTCAAGTATTCTGCAAATTTCAGGTCCAAACTGGACAGTAGTTTCAGGGTGCCCTGAGGGGCAGACTGTTACAGGCAAAGTGGATCACGACAGAACGGTTGTATGGTCTCATCCTCTCGATATCCACTACGTAACTAAAGGGGTTCAAGGTGCGTATTCGTAACAAAATAAACCTTGCATAGTAGTTATTGTCAATCATAAATGTTTTGTAAATCAGGTTGGCCGAAATTATTAGTGCAAGTGAGCTGTCTCGATTCTATTGGTCGATCCTGGATAGTAGGCTATGGTTGCTGTAGCTTACCCGCAGTGCCAGGGCCTCACACTATTCAAGTAAACTGCTGGGTGCCAGCGACAACTTCAATAACTGACAGAATCCGGCAATATTTTCTAGGAGGATCACACCAACTTATTCAAAGTGATATAGTTAATTTAGGATTAAACAGGTGAGAAGTCTAATAAGAAGTTTATCTCTGAAGCATTAAATGAATCTTAATGTGCAAAATAATTTGTTTTACAGGTTTAAGTTAAAAACCCAATCAAAAGGGTCAGTTCAGTTGCAAGTGACCTTACTACTGAGAAATTTTAGTCAGTTCGGTGTAGAATATAAGTGAAAAATGAAAGTCATTACCTATCTAGCCTTTACATTTCTATCAATACTCATTCAGTTTTGTGTTATGGATTATATTCAAGAGAAAATAGAGACTGAAGAACCTGTGAATCTTAGTGTGACGACTCAAAAAGAAATATTAAATGATTTATTGAAGAATATTAGTGGCAAACCTCATGCTCTTTACTACAGAACTATCTCAAACAGATCACTGAAGAATGCCTCTCCATCAAAGATTTATAATAACTCCTCAATGCCAGATATATCTACAGGAGCAACAGATGGAACTACAACTATATTTGATGTGTTGTATGATGAAAATACTTCTGATATAGAAGTAGCTACGTCAACCACAGAGATGTACTACACAAGCACTGAATATGACAATATTACAGAAATAACATTGTTTGAAACCAATAATAAATCATCTAGTGTACCTAGTCTCACACCAAAAACTAGCTTTAATATGCCTTGTGATTGTAACTTATTGGTAAGGAAAAACTTTTTCTAAAAAAATAGCTACAATACCTACATGGACTACAAAGAAATAAATACAGATATCTAGAATATTTCTTATGTTTTTATTGCAGTATAAAGTGTGTGACATAAATTGCTGTTGTGATGAAGATTGTTCGGATATTCATTACAAACTGTTTAAATGTCAAGATCCCGCCAAAGGTGATAGAAAAGCAGTAGATGGATGTGTAACTCATTTACTAGACGAACAGAGGTATGGGGGCAGTATGCTTGATGATTTGTTTTGTATAGTTAAGACTAATTTACCAAGCACAAGGAATATCAAAAAGGCAAGTCTGAAACTTTTTATCAGAAATACTGCATATTAAAATTATATAAGGCTTTGATGTGTTTTTTATTTTAGTATGGTGAAGCTCCAGGAGTTTATTACAAATTTGAAAGCTCTAGTCAGAAACATCACTCTTATGAATTTAAAAAAGCCATGTACACACAGGGTGATCCCATATGGATATTAAAAAATGGAATAATCTACTATTTAGGTAAGGTATATAAGCAGCTTATAGATTTCTAATAGCTATGTTTACAGATTTTGGGTAAAATTATATGATTTTTTTTCTTTATTTACAGATTTTCCAGCTCCAATGATGAATAATTACTGTACTGATAGAGTACCTATTGCTTTTCTCAAAGAGGAGAAAATGACATGTAATGTTAAACTTAAAGATTTAGAAATGTTTAATATTTTAAAAACTTCAGAAGAAGCTATGGTTATTAGTGCTACTAACAACACAATTAACAGTACTGCTTTGGTATGCATTTATTTCTAACTAACAAGCTGTAGCGATTACTCCAGATATCGTAACTTTGAACTAAATTTCATCCTTATCCATACAGTATTTTTGGCATAATTAATCTTATATACACACATTTCAAGTTTTTTGTGTAATTAAGAAAATAATTATTGTCAGTACCTACACTAACAAACTGAATGAATGAGGTGGAATATTAGTGGTGTTAGTAATTTAGTATAAATTGTTCACTTACCTGTGGCGAAATCTGTGTAGCAGCATGCGTAGCAAATGGTCCAGGCGTAAACACATTTTTTTCTGAAGGATAATACGATACAAATAAGGAAAAACCAAATAGACAACACTAACACCCGCGATATGTATTATCTATTTTTCTAATTTATGCCTTTTCCAGATAGTGAATGTAATATTGAACTACCAATATATTTTTTCAGAATTGCACGACTCTCCATTGTGTCAATTGGACTATACTCACGTGTGAAAATGGATTTTGTACAAATTATAATAAGGTCCAAAATGAAGCTTCATGCACTGAAGACATTTGCACCAACATTGCATTGAAAGTTGAATACGAATTCTATTATTATGATTTAAAAATTACAAATGCGACTATTAAATTACACGTTCAAAATGTATCGAATGCTTTGCCATTCATGATGCAAGAAGTCAGAGTACATTTTTATATGTCAAATAAGTCTACAGAGAATGTAATTGAATTAAGTGGAAATCTAGGATACATCAATGGCCTTCCGGTTATAGCATCGTATGCTAGTAATAATTACACGGACCACTTTTTTAATAATACTACGGAAAAAAGAAGCATTTTATTACCAGAGAACAGAAATGGACTCTGTGTTCGAACAAACACAACAAATAATTTTGCAAAATTTGGGATGAACAAAAGAACTAAATGTCGCTATATTTATTCACCCAAGAACAAATCGAAACAAAAATTGTGCAACAATATACAGAGTGATATTAATGAACTGCTCAGATTAAACAATAATATATCAGTTTCCCCTCTAGGGAACCCACAGGACATTACTGATGATAAATGGTTACATTTGAATTTAGACAAACATAATTTGGAACCTGTTTTTGGAGAATATAATGAAAACACCTTGAAACTTTACTGTTATAATTTAATTAACAGACTCTCTTTCACCTTCATGTACGCTAATGTCGACGAAAACAGTTACACAGAACAGAACAAAATACTGTCGGCAAAGTATGAAGTGACTACAAATAATTTTACTTTTAGTGGTGAAGACATTTCATTCGTTATTACTATTGATATAAATTTCATTGATTTGTCTAAGCCAAGTGTTATTGAATATGCTGGAGGTCCACATTTAAATATTCATTTACCTAAAGATTTTTTCTTCCCCTTCCCACAAAATAGCTGTACTCAAATGTTCAACACATGCTTTGTAACTATATGCTGTTATGTCATGTTATTTTTTTGCAAATAAAATAACTCTTGAATAATAACTAATAATTTTTATTTTGAAATAATTTAAATACTTTTGTTACTTCTATCACTTCTAACTTGGCATCCCCTTCAAGGACTTAACGATCTTGAGTTTGTGGTGGCCTGAAAATAAAACCCATTTTAGGTTCGATTAGACCACGTCAACCCAAACTTGCGCGGTAAGAATTAGCGATATTCAAGAGGCAAACGAGAATTTAATAAAACATAGTGTTATAAAGGAAGTTTTTAATATAGCCGCATCAAGAAAACGAGGTAAACTATCATAGTACATGACGTTAAGGTACTAGAGCTATATTGGTATTTACAATATTTTTACATTAATCTTCAAAGAATAGTCTAATAAAATATAATGAAAAGCAAAGAAGACAGTAAATATAAACTGAAGCTGCTTTTACACAAATCGATCGGAGCAATGTTGAGATGTCGCTACAAACCTATGCGACGTAAGTGTAGACTTTGCGGTCGTCAGGCGTGCGAGCGAGATATTCTCGTTCAATGAGCCCTTCGATGCGTTTCTTGATGACCACTGGCGACGGTAGGAAACGTGCACGTAATTGCTCCGTTACTTCGGCGACCAAGAGCGTGTGCTGAAATTAAAACATAATGCCATTAATTATAAATATAACTGACATTAGATACACAAAAAATATTTAAATAAAATATATAGCAAACATACCGCCATCTTCTTCCTAGCTTTCATGATGCGCACGATGGCGGCTTCAATTTCATGTTTACGGTCTTCATCAACTTTGTTACGTGTTTCACGTCGCTCTGGTTCAGATTCGCCTTTAGCTGCTACAGTCTGGATTTTAACTCTGGAAATTACATTACATTGTTAATTACTTTATTTCAGAGTGAACGAATATTTTTTTGTTTCAAAGAGTGTTTCTACAAACCTATGTAACTTAGAAGTAAAGGCGTCGTTCACGTAGAATTGATGTGACGGTTCTATCTCTTTAGTCTTCGGTTGCTTGATAAGCACCCTCTGCGTCGGTTTCCCCATCGCTAACGACTGCAGGGCCCGGACCAGATCTTTCTCCGGAATATCAGTCTCGTTGAGTATTTCCTGGAACGATACATAATGTGTGTTTTATAACTATTGGGGTTCTAATTTTTTATATTTTCTTAGTTGAATGAGTACTTTTGAAAGCAAGTTTTCTAGTACGAAATACATAAATTGCGCAAAGGTTAATTCAGGTAATTTTAAATTTAAATAGAAGAATCCATACCTCATAAGTAAGTCGTTCGCGTTTGTTGAAGAGTAGAAGGACGCACATCTGGAAGGTGGAGACCTGTATGATGTGGCGGCGCGGCGCGGCGGGCGCGGGCGGGGAGCGCGGCGGGGACGACGCGGCCGCGCGGAACGTCGCGTTCAGGTCCGCGGACCCCAGCTGGGGCTGCAGCGACAACTGACGACCCGAGTGCTTCGCCAGGTAGAAGCTGAAACACAACATTCATATTAATCATCCATGAAGACAGATACATATACGTTGAGAAAGTATCAGTTGGTTACAAAATTATTGTCAGTGGATAACATGGTAACAGCAATGTTGTCTATACCTTCTGAAAACTTCAAATGCATTCCGCGGAGCGGTAGGGATATTGCACTTGGGTGTCGCGCTTTGTGTTGGCCAGAAGCCAGTTGTTAGGACACGCACCGACAGGTCCACACCATGTAAGTTGATCTGAAATCATTAAAATATTCCTATGCAAAACTGAGAATAACGCAACATCTTTGTAATTCGCGAGTGTAAGCTGCAACTTACAGTCAGCGTCGTTAAAACCACATAAATATAATAAATAACAAAGATTCACCCCAGATGACATCACATGTTCCTTGAACTCTTCCATTATGGTGTTTGAGACAGTCATGTCTTTGAACATTCCTTCCAGCTTTGATGTGAACTGACAACCGCATTCAGTCTGAAACAGTATATAAATTGGTTTAATAAAAATAAAATTAATTATGATGTGTGAACGAGAAGCTACTTAATAATAAAATCAACCAAAAACATATGCTAACAAAATGTTAATTTCGTATTTCAACTTGTGTTCTATTATTTCGTGTACAAGTCTAACAACTGTCGGAACTAATAATACAATATTATACACAAACTAAAATTAATCCTGCTTAAAGTCTTAATCCTCTGCAAAATTCTTTACCTAAACGACTTTTGGAAATGTATTACTATCAAGTAATTTTGAAAAGAGAAGCAAAAAAGCTTTTGATTTGCATCCCAAGAC